AAGCTACATCAGTTTACACCCGCTGAGGAGCTGATCCTCTGTAATCTTCTTTATTTACCCACAATCCAATAATAGCGTGGACACGTTCAACCATACGGTTTTCCAGGTTCACTCACTGCTCAGTCACTTGTTTCAATATTGATCCAGACGGACTTTCCATAGTCACACTCATTTCCTTTCTTATTTCTTTATTTAAGACATGCATTGGACTAGACAAACCTGAAGAAGATTACAGAGGATCAGCTCCTCAGCGGGTGTAAACTGATGTAGCTTCATCAGAGTCAATGAAACTAGTGACCCTCAGCTGGTGTAAATGCATTGAATTCAATGAGTCTATAGCAATTTACACCAGCTAAGGATTTGGCTCCAAATAATGACTGGTGCATTATATGTATATATACACAAAAATATTCTTGTGACTTTTTCTGAGAAACTCTAACATCTCCCCTGGCCTTTGAAATTCAGCATGTATCATTTGTGCAATGTTCACTCAAATGCTTTACATGTGTTGCAAAAGATAGATTTGCAAAAATAATGGGCCAATCTCTTTGTTAGCATAAGTGAGTGCAACTCAGTTGTTCTGAAAGGAGTCCCCACCTTTGGTGAATTTGGCGCTGTTTATCTAGGAGTTAAAAGGAAGACCAAGAACAATGCACAGAATAGGGGTGATTTCCCTGTGTGCTGTAATTTTGCATGTGCATTTAAATAGTGCCTTTGAATAGCTAGTTGTGGATGCAAATCAGGTAGCTAGAGGAGGAGCAAATACTCTTGAGTTGGGGCTGCAACTCATCTTGCATATCATGGTCACTGCTCATATTTCCCAGCTGTCAGAGTAAGGACCACATTTTAATGCACTCGAATTTTTTCCTTAATTTATCAGATGCAGGTATAATCCGCTGCGGACAAAGTGTCCCCAAGAGCTTACATTCCTATGAAACAAAAAATTCCTTTACAATAATCATTTACAGCATTGACTAAAGGTGAGTCACACCACAAATCCTGAATGTCTGGAATTTAGATTTCACATTTAGGTGATTTAGATTTAGATCCACATTTGGGGGATAGTTTGATCCCAGGTTTTGCAATGGCCCATCATAGAGAGGGAAATGATCAGGGACCAGAGCCACATTTCTGTCTAATCCCCCTGCTTATATGGCCCCCATCACTGTAGGATCTGAGGGCCTTTCCCAGTGAGTGAGGGTCATATATGGGGTTTTGATTTAAAGGCATGTCTACACTACCAGTGCTACAGTGGCACAACTATGGCGTTGCCACTGTGCGACTGTACCACCGTAGCGTAGATGTTTTCTTTGTTGACAGAACGGGTTTTTCCTTCAATGTATGCAATCCACTTCTCTGTGCGGTGGTAGCTAGGTAGATGGAAAAATTCTACTGTTGACCTAGCCATGTCTACACTAGGTGCTACATCAGCTTAACTATGGTGCTCAGAAATGTGAATTTTTCATACCTGGGAGTGACGTACTTAAGTTGATCTAATTTTAAGTGTAGACCAGGCCTAAGAGTTAATTAAACAGGCTGCCAATCGAGTGTTTCTGGATTTGGTGTTCAACATCCCTGTCCCTCTTGTTCTCTGTCCTCCTCTCTAACTGCTCCCTTTTGTCTCCTGTTCCCACTCTGCTTCACATCTTCTTACTGCCTCTTATGCCTGGCTCAACCTCCCATTAGTTGACCCAAGAGTCAACTGCTTCCTCTCTTCTGTGTCAAACCATCTTCTTTTGTGATGGCGGCTCTGGGTTTTCTTGCATTTCAACTATCATCCTGTGTCTCAGTGGCAGGGAGTGTTTTGTAAAACTCTGGGTATGCTTAAAGCACCCTAGAAATGATACACTCCTATCAATATGAAAACACTGCCGCAATCTTAACTATGGCGTTGCTGCTGCTCCACCATAATGATAATGAATAATAATCAATGGCCATCTATTGTAGAATATATAGAAAACATTGGTTAGAGAGCTAGGCTGGGTTGTGGGAGGCCCAGGTTCATTTCCATTTCTGCCACAAACATCCCGTGTGACCCTAGGCAAGTCCCTTTGTGTTTCAATTTCCCATCTTTAAAATGAGGGTGATAGCACTGCTGTATCTCCAGGGGCGTTGTGAGGATAAATGATCGAAGACTGTGAGGTGCACAGATACAACAGCGATGGAGGCCAGACTAGTACCATATATAGAATTAACAGCAAACCTGATACCTAAAGAAGAGCTGTGTAAGCTGCTCTCTCTCACCAACCTAATTTGGCCCAGTGAAAGATATTACCTCACCCACCTTGTCTCTCTAATATCCTGGGACCAACAAGGCCACAAGAACACTGCATACAAGCTGAAAGCTGGCAGGCAGGTCCCTGTATTAGCTGTTAGATCACAGGATTGATACAGGAAAAGCCCCAATTTGAAGATACCGATGAAAGCAGAGGGTAGATACCTTAGTGATGTAGGAGAAGTGTGAACAGGCTAAACCAGTGGTTCTCAACCTGCGGCCCGATTGGCACACAGCTGCAGGCCATTTGACATCCTCAGGGACATACAGGTAGTATATATATTGTGTGGATGCAGTCCACATAACACAGAGAGAGCTGCATATGTGGCCCACAATGGTAAATAGGTGGAGAACCATTGGGCTAACCAGTTTTGCTCTTTGAAAGTAGTGTTTTTACATTTAATAGCCCCCTATGTAAATCTGGCAGGAAAAGATTAATGGGGCTGTTTACTTTTTAATTCAAACCACTGGGATGATGGACTGCATTTGAAAGTCTCCAAATTCAACAATACAACACGTTTAATCACAATGGCTTTGAAGTACTTTGTGGCAATTCTCAAACTCCTCATTTTTTCAACCAATACAAGTTTACAGAAATCTTTCTTATGCACAGTGTCCAGAATATAAATATTTCATTTTATATATCAGAGAAGGAGAATAATTAAAGAACAGTCCCTTTGCCGCTCATATCTTTTTTATCTTTATGGTTACTACAAGCAGCATTTTTGTCATGTGTATGTTTTGTTTTCCACCTGAATGATTTTGCAACTGAGACAAGAAAAAAACCCACATTGTTCTACTCTGTCTAAATAGCAATGGGATCAGATAAGAGGCTCTCAGAAGGGTGTTATTATGCAGGCAGACTTTCAAGTTGCTAACTGAACCAGAGAGTTCCTCCTTTCTATATTTTCTTCTAGCCTGTAGAGAAAAGTATTACAGAAACCTACTGATTTGTTGAATTGAGCCATTTTTCCCCCTTCCTTTTTAAAAAAAATATATTGTAGACTGACATAATTATTTGTGGTAAGAGAACATTTTATACCGGTATTATTTTTGTCATTTTACTCCAGCTATTGTGATCTGATACCACTGGCATGAAAAGGAGGTTGTTTGTATGTTTGTATGTTCTAAGCACTGTGAATAGCCATTATTTTCCCCATGTGTTAGAACAAACCATTTTTCAGCCTAGCTGACATTTATTTCATACTGCACAAAATAAAGACTGAAGAAATGTAGGGCTGGATTTTCCATGTTGTCTAATGGACCTGGACACCCAATTCCCATTAGAAAATAATAGGAATTGGTCAATTCATTCTGTTAAGTGGCTTTGAAAATCTCACCCATAAAAGCCTCCATGAAAAAGAGAGAGAGAGAGAGAGAACAGCAACCACCTATGCAACAATCTGCAAACTGAACCATTTGCTGGCTATTCCACCTATCCTAGTGTTCCCTAAAATTCTCAGGGATAATTCCAAAGTCTTTGGAAACTAAAATAAATTTACATTCGTTGCTAATCTGAATCTTCATGACTCAGAATAGGATATCAGACAGCTATGCACCTTACACTTAGTCGGCTTGTATGTTCTGTATTTTGCCCAATTAAAACTTGTTAAATTTTTAATATGAATTGCTGATTATCAGGCAAATCTTGCAGTCCTTATATTTGCAATCTTCAGTCAAGTAAAACTCCCACTGATGTTTTGGGGCCAAATTCAGTCTTTTTACTCTAACTGCTGCCAGTACCCACCCCGTGTGATTTGGCCCTACGTAAGTTAATACATTGGAGATGCACTACAATAATGCCACATAGATTGCAGTCCACACAACACCTTGAGGTTTCACGGGTATGCAGTTATCAATTTAACAGTCTGACTTTTCAGCTTTTAAAAAAAGACACTATATGTCCCATAGCTCAATATCACCAACAGGAAGAAGAAAAACGAAACATGTAAAAGTGCAGTTAGACAAAATTTTATTCCAACAAATGTATTTCTAAGCTTATAATTGGATGAATCTGAACTCTCCATCTACTACGTACTCTGCTTTTTTTAACTAGTCACAGGAGATTTTAATGAAAAAATACTCTCTTTTGCATATACATGCTCAGATACTATGGTGACAAGCATGTGTAAGAACCTATACAGAATAATATTCATGTTTTTGGTGAGGTGATATAAATTTGTTCTGAATTAGTTGCCATAAATGTATGTTGACATCTCATTATTGGTTTAATTTCATGAAACATCAGGGACAGGCTCAAAATATTAATTTCTCATTGAAAAACGATAACTGCACATAAAGTTACAATAATCACAGAGCTTTCATTAGTTATTGAAATGAGTGGCTTGTAATCAAACTTACCCAACAGACTCTTCCCCCTACTTAGCTTTTGAATCCTGTTCATTTCATTCTGGCAAGGGAGACCTAAAATATAATGTATGAAAGTCAGTTTCCAGATGGTACGGGACAGACTCTCTAATGATTGGCTTCACTATTTACATGAAATGTAGTCTATTGTACACCTGGGAATGAAATAACCCCATATGCTGGTAATACACTGCAAAACAAATGTATATCATTAGCTTTGCTAATTAAAAAATTCAAAACACACTATACTTAATAATAGTGTTTTGGGGCCATTTGGGTTGTTAAACATTTTTTTCTTCTCCTTCATCAAACTGAAATAATGCCAGGCTTCTAATTTATGATTTGCTAATAGACTAATTTCCACATTAATAAGAACATTAGTTCATAAGCCTTCTATTAGCAATAGAATTAATTCCTGAATTGAAGTGCCAATAATTTGATTGCTTCTTTGTTTGTTTCACAGTGAAATACGTGTAATTGACAGTATTTGCCATTGCTACACAATGCCCTTTCTCACCAGGGATAAAGAAAAGGGCTATGAATTACCAATTCAAGATAAATGGCAGTGCAGTCAAAATGTAAGAAAGATGTTGAAACCTAGAAAATCCTAAAAAAACCCACTACATATTTGTGGAAAAGAGAAACCAGAACATATCAAGACAACTATAAGGTATTAAAATGTATAATTTATTTTCAAATAATATTAATCTGAATATGGTAACATTTAAGCCAAAAGTTTTAAATTTGTCTGGCTAAAGTTAGGTAATTCCATATTTAGGCACCTACACGTATAGCCTGAACTTCCCACGTGAGGAGCATGTACAATTCCCATTGACTTCAGTGGCAGCTGCAAGTTGCTCACCACTTATCTGGCCATTCTTATTTAGGTGTCTAAACATGATTCCCAAGTTTGTAAATGCTCCCTAACGTCTCTTAACATCCTGTCCAATGCTCTGTCCACTGAATCATACTTTAAAGCCTCTTATCATCATCCCAGGACATATGGTGATGGCTGTTTTGCATAAATATTATTAACAACAACAATAATAGAAAAGATATTTTGTCAAATTACATTTTCCATACCATTATTTTAGCATCTATAGTAATGAATTATAGATCAGTTTTATGTTACATAATGGAATGACTTACCTCCTGGCTTCTGAAAGCAGTAGCACCATTCATTGTTAGAAAGCTTTCCGTCTTTGAAGGAGTCACATGAGTTGAAGAGGGGTTTAATGCACGGCTCATACTTATCGAGATAAATTGCATTGATCTCTGAGTGATCCAGCAGGAGGTCATAGTTCATATCAAGTTTGTTGAACATCCAGCCTAATGAATCCTTACAGATTGGTAGTATGCTGGTGTCAAACCCTATGAGAACATGGGCAAACAACGGTTGGTGAGTCACACTACACAGGCCTGACATGCATCATTGCTAAATTACGACGTTCTCTCTCTTGCATGTTCTTTTAACTGAAATATGGAGCGAACTTTGTTTCAGTTTAAACCTTCTCTGCCCAACCAGTAGGAAACTAGAACAATACTCTGATTCCAAGTAAGAATGAATGAACTGGTTGAATTAAATCAAGCTCAAAACTAGATGTGATTCTGACCCAAACCCTGGATAAGAATGCCACTTACATTTTGGGGAGAAAAAGGGGGTTAGGGTCCACATCTGATTACTGCCACTCAAGCCCATCTTTACTCAAATATCAACCCTAACTTACTTTTTCTCCCCCCCCCCCATTTGCAAGTGTATTGGCTTGGTTCCAGGACGGTTCAGAAACAGAAACACTGTGTTTTCAAATTAGCTGAAAGCAGAAAGCAACAGAAATCTTGAGAGAGAGCCTATCCTTGCGAGATTACCAGCCCTGTTTCTAGTCACCTTGCTGAATCCTTTATTGGTTGCTTCTCACCTTCTACATTAGCTCCAAGCTTCTTGCCCTCTCCTTCGAGACCCTGCACAACCTTGCCTCTGCCTGCAGCTCTGCTCTAATTTCCTTGTATTCCCTCTGCCTACATTCCCCCCCATCCCGCAACGTTCATATTCTGCACTCCTCCCGACTGCCTTCTTTGCATCTTCATCCTTGCTGCTGTTCACACTTGACACTCAGTGCACCAAACAACCTCCTTTTCTTTGTTCTCACATCCCTTCTGAAAACTCATTTCTTTCACCAGTCCCCTCGGTGCTAACCCTACATTTCTGGCAGATCTGACCCTCCCAGTCTTGTAGTATATCTGACTCTGAATTCTTTATCTGATCTAGATTGTGAACTTCTTGAGGTGGAGGTCACGTCCTCTGGGCTTGCACTACTCTGAACAACAGGACCGGCTCTAGGCACCAGCAAACCAAGCACGTGCTTGGGGCGGCACAATTCCAGGGGCGGCATTCTGGGAGGCTCCCCCCCCCTCCCCCTTCAGCAGTTGTGCTCTCGGAGGTTTTTTGTTTTTTTGTGCTTGGGGCGGCAAAAAACCTAGAGCCAGCCCTGCTGAATAATCACAGTGCTGGGGTTTGCTGAGACCACTAATGCACATGAATTGGCGCATTTGCACTCGTGTGTCACAGAAGCCCTCTGCATTCCAGCCTGGTTAGATGTTTTGCAGCTGAAAAGGATTCTGCTTTCTCAACACTTCAGGGAACAGGATCCATGTTCATTTAATATCCCTCATCCTCTAAAGAATGCAGCAGGCAGGAGTACCAGAGGAACGCCATTGCATTCATGGTCGTATTTGCAACGCATACATGTGCATTTCTGCAATCTCTATAAACACAGTTCGGGGCGTCGTTTTAGAAAAATTCTGGAGAGAGGGAAGGCAAAGTTCTGTCAGCATGCAGAACATTATGTGATTATATTATATCCTGCAGAGTTGGGGCGGGAAGGCACAAGAAGGAGCATACAGACCTATGAAAAGTTTGGGGAAGGTTCAAATCAACATGTGTGTGGGGGGGACAATTGTGCCTCTTCCCCCATAGCCAATGATGCCCCTGAACACAGAGTTCTGGACTTGTTGGAGGAGGGTCACCCAAAAGAGAAGCTGGTATTTTTAAGTCCTCAGTAGTAGTTACTGTACTTACATCTCCAACGCGTGGTACCCAAATGCTAACTAACCCCACAACACCTGCCTTCTTGCAGGAAAGTATCATTCACAATTTATAGCTGGGGAAACTGCCATTAAGAACCCCAGTTTTACAAAGGCTCACAAAACATGCATATACTAGTCAGGGTTTAGCAGTCATGTAACCCTAATGAGTGGGACTGCTTCGGGCACCTTGCGCGCGCGCACACACACACACACAGTGTGTAAATGTGACCTGCCAAGCGCACACCGTGAATCAGGGCCCATGCTCAATCCGCTACACAACCTGCCTCTCTTGTGTTAGGCCGACATTCTTTTCACCGTATTGAGGAGATTTAGAGGAGGTTTAGTTTTAGGCTCATCTACTCTGAGTATCAAATTTCATCTCCAAATGCTGCTTCTGAAAACTACCACTTAGAGTCTAACTGAAAGCCTAGAAGAGTGCTGCACTGTCTGCTATTTTAAGCGTTAAATTCAAGGAAGAGTAAAGTTTCACTCTGGAAACTGCATCCTTGAACTGCAGCTCTAGCTGAAGGTTGTCAGTGACACGGAGGGACAGGCAGAGGGGTTAAGTAATAGGGAAGTTTATGTCATTCATAACACACGTTTCTCTAACAAAGTAAGAGGATAACACCATTTCCTTGCGGCTAAAGACAACTCAGGCAGGGTAGAGAGATCATGTTGAACTTTTCATTACCCCATTTCCTGATAGCTGCTCCTGTGTTATCTGATTTGAGTTTGAGTACATCAAAAAAGAAAAACTATATGTAATATACACAGATCTATCCAGCTCATCTTAGGCAAGTAGTGCCATTGGCTTCAGTCATTCTACTCATCTGAGGAAGGCAAGCAGGATTTGCTCAGTGTGCAAACATCAGCTGAGAGAACTTCTGTAAGAGGCCCAGACCCCTATAAAGGGGAGGGGAGAGCTAACCTACGGAGACCTGCCGTTCTGCCAGAACCACCCTCAGGATGCAAGGTCAGGGGCAGCACAAAAGGCAGGGGGTGGAGCCTGTGGAGGTCGGAAATTCATGAGGAGGTGGTGTCATTCCATGGTCCCTCTGAACCTCCCCCACCCCTCAGCAATGCCATCGTGGGAGGCCTGTTGTTCCATGGTCCCTCTGAACCTCCCCACCCCTCAGCAATGCCATCGTGGGAGGCCACACAACCGGTTGGCTTCCATTTGGCTGCCCCCTCCCTCTGTGGATGCACTCTATGGTGGGGTTCAAGTGCCACACTGGGGGACTTGCTGCTGCTCAGATAGGTGATTACATGGTCTCTTGTGCGGACTGTGTGTTTCCCAGCCATTGCTCTCTCTGGCAGGCCACCTCCTAGTTGTGTGTGGCTCAGCTTGTGCACTCTAGCGGGGATGGAGGCAGCGCCATGGTGGGAGGAGAGGCTGGCACGGACTTGCCCTACCTCTTCACATGCTCTGTGATTTGTGTGCTGTTCCTATGACTTTGCTCCCTTCCCTGATGTGTGGCCTTGTGTGTGTGTACAACATGCATTCAGGGACACAACAATGGAACCTTTGCAGGACTAAACTTTACAAGACAGTGACTCATACGGATAAGAAGCTGCTTTGTGACCCGTGGTCAGGGGCTGCATCAAAGAGGCCGTTATGGAAGGTCACTTATGAAGATAGTTAATTATATTAGTTTAATACTTTTCTATTGTTGCTGTTTTAAATAAACCAGGGAGCTTTCATGACACGATCAGGCTTTTCAGGTTAAGGTTTATTATGAAGCCTCTCTATTAAGCAGACAGTGCAGTATGTAAGTGTTCAGATATTACAGTGATGGATGGATATTACTAGTGAAAAGGTTACTATTAGGATGGCCTTTCAGTATGCAGATGAAAGTCAGACACAACATCAGTTTCTACCTGCACTTCAAATTGCCTCTTGATAAGTTTCTTCCAATAAATTACCTTTCTCCAGGTCAATATCAACAGTCATAACCAAAAATGCTGAAACTCAAGCCCACGTCCTCTCATGTTCAGGATTTAAAACCAAGCGGACTCTCAGTAAATAAAGCTGAATTCACATTGCAAAGCTCAGAGGGGTAAACTCTCAGGGCACTGTATTGGAAATCGTTCACATAACTCCACTACTTTAATTGGAAGTCACTGCTAGCATGTGCACCAAACCAGAGTTCACTTCCCCCATAGCAGGACTGCTGTAGACAATCGGCCTGAGCAACGATAAATGAAGTAATTGCATTTCTGGGGCCTAAAGCCTTATGATAACTGTGACAACGTACTGCATAAAATAAATACCGTTTACTGCATTTCTTAAGAGAATATAGTGCTGGTTTAACAAAAAATACAGCACAGGCAGCAGCAAGACCTCTTCATCCCACCCATCTGCCTCAACCCCGCCTTGCAATGACCACCACTAAGGGTGAGAGTATAGTGCAGGCTTCATGCTCATTCAGTTATTGGCTTCTCTGCAGAGACTGCTAACAAGGATGCCAATTAATGTCAATGGTGGCAGAGGTTTTTCTGATTTGGACACCTGTTTACTAGGAGCTGGACTGAGACCATTACATTTTACATTCCGTCTGACAACTGCTCGAAGTCCTAACAACTTCCATTCACTATGCATCTGGAAGGGATTCAAACTGGTGACCTCCATGTGCAAGACTCCATGTCCCATTATTACCCCAAACCATCCATCTCCTCTGGATGCAAAAACGACATCAACAAAAAACCTTTATGTGAAATTCCTAATTAAAAAATAAATACACCTTCTGGCACATAACATTGCTTTTTTTGACTCTCCAAGAACTGACTTACATGAGTTGAGTTTTAGTGACGTCATTAAATTATACAACAATTAAATTAACAGGAAAATAATTAGCCTCATTTCCATCATCACTAAAAATACAAAACACCACCCAGAAATATTTCTCTGGGGCTTTTTTTACATTTCACACAGCTCCACCAAATGTAAAAGATAAACGTCCCAGACCAGCTGAGTAGATTTTAGAAACACAACATTATGACCTAGCAACAGACTGAAGAGCAATTGGAATCTGACCCTAGCTAATTTGTGTTATTATTTCCTTATTTCAGTGCATGTTATTTATATTAGTATTATGTCCTGAGATGCTGTCAGTTAGAGAGAGGAAGACATAGTGCCTGAACCAAGGTGCTTAATTTAAATCAGAAGGACAGATATTACATTTGCTGAAGGTCCAATTCTTGAAACAGTGCAAATTTCCCTCTTTTTTTTCCTTTTAAGAGAGGAAAAAATAGGAATGATTTTTTTTTCACCTGGAGGTGAACTTAATACAGCCAAAGAGCTTATTTACACACTCAGCAGCATCTTGAAAATGGAATGTAGCACAGAGAAATCTCCACTGGAACACCTTCTCTAGACCATGGAGCTGTCCAAGGCATCTTAGGGGCTGGTCCACACTAACCCCCCACTTCGAACTAAGATACGCAACTTCAGCTATGTTATTCACGTAGCTGAAGTCGAACTATCTTAGTTCGAACTTACCGTGGGTCCACACGCGGCAGGCAGGCTCCCCCGTCGACTCCACATACTCCTCTCGCCGAGCAGGAGTACCGGTGTCGACGGCGAGCACTTCTGGGATCGATCCGGAATCGATTTATCGCGTCTAGAAAAGACGCGATAAATCGATCCCAGAAGATAGATTGCTTACCGCCGGACCCGGAGGTAAGTATAGACGTACCCTTGGTCATCTCTTTCCATCATCTGCTCCTTTTTATTGCTACGGGGGCACCCCCAAAATGGATTACTTTGAGGATGCACATGCCTCTTAAGGCGTCACAGGCATAACCAAACCAGCTCAATTTAATGAAGTGATCAGCCTGCCGAGGAGGGGAATACAAAGAGAGCAGTAAAAGGAAAGGGCTTTTTTGAACCCAGTTATACTTTTGGCCTTCACAACATCCCCTGGCAACGAGTTCCACAGGCTGACTGTGCTCTGTGTGAAGAAGTATTTCCTTTTGTTTGTTTTAAACCTGTTGCCTATTCATTTCATTGGGTGACCCTTGGAGTAAATGACACTTCCTTATTCGCTTTCTCCACATCATTCATGATTTTATAGACCTCTGTCATATCCTCCTTTAATCGTCTGTCTTCCAAGCAGAACAGTCCCAGTCTTTTTAATCTCTCCTCATATGGAAGCCATTCCATATCCCTAATCATTTTTGTTGCTCTTTTTTGTACTTTTCCCAATTCTAATATATCTTTTTTGAGATGGGGTGACCAGAAGTGCATGGAGTATTTAAAGAGTGGGCGTACCATGGATTTATATAGTGACATTATGATATTTTCTGTCTTATTATCGATCCCTTTCCTAACAGTTCCTAACACTGTTAGCTTTTTTGACTGCCACTACAGATTGAGCGGATCTTTTCAGAGAACTATCCACAGTGACTGCCAGATCTCTTTCTTGAGTAGTAATTTAGACCCCATCATTTTGTATGTATAATTGGGATTGTGGTTTACTGTGCATTACTTTGCACTTATCTACATTGAATTTCATCTGCCATTTTGTTGCCCAGTCACCCAGTTTTGTGAGATCCCTTTGTATCTTGTTGCTGTAACTCTTCACAGTCTGCCTCTCCCCTTGTGGGTTCCAGGACTAGCTGCTCTAAGAAGCAGTCATTAATGGTGCCTAGAAATTTTATCTCTGCATCCTGTCCTGAGGTGACATGTTCCCAAGTTGATAGCCTCCATTATTATTAGGTTTTCTGTTTTTGTAGCCTCTCTAATCTCCCTGAGCATTTCATAATCACTGTCACTATCCTGGTCAGGTGGTCAGTAGTACATTCCTACTGCTATACTCTTATTATTCAAGCATGGAATTTCTGTTCATAGAGATTCTATGGAACTGGTTGACTCATTTAAGATTTTTACTGTATTTGACTCTATGCTTTCTTTCACTTACAGTGCCCCTCCCGCACCAGTGCAACCTACTCTGTCATTCCTATATGTATGTATCCTATATCTGTACTCTGTTATTACCATATCCCATTGATCATCATCATAACTCCACCCGATGCCTATTATATCAATATCCTCATTTAATACACTTATCTCAGTATTTAGACTTTTTGGATTTGTATACAATCAATTGGTCTTTGCCCACTGGCTGATCTTCACAAGGAAACCAAAGGTCAGCTGTATAAAGAACGTCTTTTCGCATCCCGATAAAGGAAGATTTAGCATTAGCAATCTGGTTCTGGACCCAAAGGGCTTCAGAGGAAAATGTGCTTAGAACTTTCTAAGGAAAAAGGCCTGAAGCAAATTCATCTCCTGAAGCCATTCTTAGATTTGTATCCAGTTGCATCGCTTCACAATTATTTTGCTACATTTACATAATAAATGCATCATTTCAGAGTGCTATTGAAGAAGTCAGTGTCTCAAAAATATTTTAAAACTATCGACTGTTTAAAATGAATGACTTCTTATATGTAACTGGAAATAAGTTGGAACTTTCTTAAACAAAAGATGTACGGAAAAGACAGTTGTCATGAGATCTTGTCTTTGTGTTTGGCCTTTATTGCATGATTTTTATATCAAGGTTTTACAAAATTTTGAGCAGTACATTGTGGGCTATATTGTGTCTCCATAGTAAAAGGCAGCACAAAGCTGTGTACCTCAGGAGCAGCAAAAGGGAAGCAATGGGGCTGGTATAGGCCAGCAGCGAATTACCACCCCTGGGGCACTGATTCAGCTCTGATCCATTCCATGCCCCTCCTCTAATATGAGCTCCAGGACTTTCAGTGTGTTGTAGCAGCGTCCAGGATGTTGGTATGCTGCAAACTGGTGTGCTGTACATAAACACCCTGGTTTGCAATGCAGTGACTTGTCATGTAGGCGAGCTCTTAAAGAGTTAGAACTATGTACCTTTCTTGCATGTATTTTAGAGGTTTACCCACAAAATGACATGCCTTAATAGAACATAAGCTCACTTCTACTTAGTCTTTCTTTGTAACCCCTGTGTGAGTCTTTTCCTCCCTACTGGGTAAATAACATCAAAATTAATCGTTTGAGGTATACCTATAGGGTGCTGTCTTTGTTTAAAAAACAGGGGTATCAAAAGCAGTAGGTGCTGAGAAGTGTTATTAGATACCTGGGATGCAGCACATGAATCTGAATGCCTCTTTTTTAGCACATACAATTCCAGCTTTTCTAACCTTTCTGCATCAACTAATCTGTCCAGGCCAGTGGCTATCCTTTGGACATTTTCTTCCCATTATCATTCCTGTTCCATAAGGCTAACTGGAAATAAGAAAATGAAGCCCCAGTGTAATTTTCTCTGTGTTGTACGTTTGATGCGTGTATGTCACATATTTTGTTTGCCATTTTGCCCACAGCCATATAATGTGCTGGCAGGTTTGTGATTCTCTCTATTAGTATCCGAACCGTTTGTGGCCATAACAGCAGACCGATTGTCTAGTCCGAATTGTGTGTGTGTTTGTTTGGTACGTGTCGTACTGTCTTCTTTTAGGACAGTTTCGGGTTGAGAGGGCACTTGTAACTCCTATAGAAATCAATGGGAGCTGTATATTCTCAGTATCTCTTAGGATCAGGTCTGTTATATGGCGCAGATATTAGTATACTTGCCCAGGGACACAATAGTGATGTACTAGGGATTGTATTAACTGTTCTGCCCTTTAAATGCGTGTGAGCTTGTCTAGAACTTCATTTTTATAAAGAGTTTTCTTACTGCCTTGTGCTGTGTCCGAACTTGTTGGTTTAATGACACGATTTGCATCCTCATGAAGAGCACCGAACCAATCTTTTAGTCGGGAAGCAAGACTTCTCAGCTCCTTGTCTGTGCAAGCTGTCAAAACAACAAAGGAACAAATTAAATTGCAAAGATCATGCAAGTTAACTTTTTTCTGGATCTTCTACTAGAACTTCATCGTTTTTTGTTACTCATAGCATAGTCCTGGCCTAACAGCTTAGAAGTAAAAGACCGACAAAGGGTAGGGGAAAGCAATACAACATATAAGGAAATGTAAATCACAATGAAAGGATTTTCTTATTACTATATTCAAGTATCTCCTTAGAGGTTGATGTGATTTGTGATTTAAACTCCATCCCACACACCCATCTCTGCAGTTTCTTGCTTAGAAATAGGTGAGTATTTAAGGTAAGGGCTGTCACTTTATAGAACTTCAGAGAGGGAACATCAGTCAAACAGGAAAAAAAACCTCACCTAGAAATTTTATTAGAATAGGACACTGGGAATAATTTATAACCCACATTTGAGTTAGTTTAAGGCTATTGTTAATGCCATAGGAACTCTGTTTCTTAAAGAAAGCTGTCATGTTCTTTCAATTCTACTGCAAATAAAGCTTTGCCATCTCTAAAGGTTGTCACAAGTCCTTTTTGTTGGCCAGATAAAAGCATCTATTGCTTGAATTTTTACTGAGAAACATCTAATTTTTCCATAAATTTCTACCAAGAGATTAACGCCCAGCAGAAGCCAATATTTGTTAGAAAAAAGGCTACATTAGACACCATCTGTCAGAATGAATATTCCTGCTTCTGCATTATCTTTAGTGCTTGAATTCACAGATTTAAACCATTTTACCTTTCTTGCCATGAACTCATTCTAAATTTTAACAACAGTTTTTTAGAATACAAAACATGGTTCTGTGCAATAGAGTCAGACATCCCTCACGAAGTAACCCACAATATATCTTCTCCAATTCACGGAACATTGTAATACTCCTCCCACTAACTTACTCGAGACCAAGTCCCCCTGCTTGCCTTCTCAAGTTAAACTCATTGCTCTTATGATTGCAATGAATGAATCTATTATGAGTAGCACTAATATGGATGGGGTTGCCATTTTTTCTGCTTTCTAACTGCTCCCCACTCTGTTTCTGGAGGTAGCCTGCTCCTAATTTTCAAGCGAGACACTATAGCTTTTTTGAGAATGTAATTTTTTTATTCATTTCCCCCCTCAAGCTTAAGGAAAAGTCCGTATGCACTTGCCAAGTTGGAAGAATGTTTTTGTTCCGCCATTTCTACATTCTTGGCAAAAGGTGAAAGTTTAATTTTTTTTAATTCTGGGCAGAGGGAAGATGATTTTTTCCCCACTCCTCCATAACTCAGAAACGGTCTGATGGACTTTCTTTACTCTCCTGTTAAAGAGAGTAACAATCACTGCCTCCACCCTGAGGCTAAATCCAAGGAAGGAAAGGTTAAGCCCCAAAGAAGAAGTTTTGAGAAAGTAACGGGTATGTAAAAACAAGGGTTTATAGAGGAAGGCAATGCAGTATTAACTATAATGTAGCTCTTATTACTGTACAAGCTTATATTTTATTTATCACCCTTTTATTTATCACATCCCTATATTTAAACTATTATGTCTTTGCAAGTAACGGCAGAAGTCCTTGACTAATGAGATGTGAGGCCAACTATGGAGATCTTCCAATAAAGGACCAAACTACTCCAGGTAAATGGGACTTCCCACACTGCCATCCGTTTTGCACACTGTATATGTTGCTTGTGAAAGGTGTTGGTTTGTTGATCCAGCTTGGGAGTGAAGTCCCCTACCATAGAAGAGTCACAGCACAGGCAAGAGCAGAGCAAGCTACACCAATGAAATGTCACCTTGACACAGTGTTCAAGTCTGACCAAAACGGCCATCTCTAGGATTGAGAGGGTAGGGAAAAGCTAATTTAACAGGTAATGAGAGTTCAGAAACTGTCCAGCCCTAGAGAGATGTGCATAACTTGGCCCCTGACTCAGTGAGCTACTCCCTGTCAAGGACAAAGACATTCCGTGAGCTTAGGCTTTCATTAGGAACAGGGGTTCTCCCCTGACTAGAACTGGCTGGATCACAGCAGATCTGCAGAACCATAGATGCTGCATGAGTTATGCTGTCAGGGGATCCTTGCAGGCTGGTTTCCCCATTAGTTCCTTAATGGCATTTCCAAACTGTGGTTGGGAAAAGTGGGTAAGTTGATGCTAAAAGGATCAGTATTCACCGACCCATAAAAATCCTACAAGTTTCTAGGAGAAAAGATGCTAGAATCATACTCGTCTACTTAACTCTGCCCCAGTCTGTTCCCTACCCACTTGCAGTTCTTATATCCCTTGGAGCACCAATGGGGATGTTTCGATGGAATACAGGGAGGATGTAGCTGCATTCACCCTTCAGTGTGTCTCAGGTCAATATCCATCAGATCTCAGTCTGCTCTACCTATGAAGGAGGCAATGTGACTGTCAGTTTTTGTTTGGGTATCATTATGGTACCATAGGAACAAGAGGACTGTAAAGATAAACATGTCATTTCTTTTTCATACTGATGGTGGGAACCTATCTTGATCACCAGTTTTTGCAGAGGAGTCTACTCATTCCATATTGGCTTTCAAAATTAAAAATTAACAACACCTTTTTCTTTCTGAACAAGCATTCACTCTCTACAGTCACTCACTTTCAGCAATTTCATTTGCAAAGTCAATTTTGAAGACAAATTATTAGAAATCAAGTGCAGCAGGGAAGAATAGTTAGTGATGTTTTAATTAAGTAGAACAGCTGGGCAGGTCATTTATATTTTTAGAATATTTCCCATAGCCTATTCCATTCTAAACTCCATATATAAATATTGCTTTGACTACTGATTATATTAGGAAAAAAATTCAGTAGTTTAGAAAGAAGTAATCTATCCCCATGGCACAAACCTGAAGTTGATGAAACATTTATTTAGGAACCTCATTTCTAGGAAGCCTAGGATTGAACTCTAGACTACTGAATAAATATCACTATGCCTCCTTGACATCTTCAGTGCTTGCTGCATAGGTAGAAAGAGCTTCACAGACTTTAATTCAATAAGCCAAAGAAAATATCCTGTAGTGATATTTTACTTACTCAGATTTATGTACTTTCAACAACAAAGACAACTTTACACACAGAGAAATATACGGTAAGTCAAGTGGACTCAGGGCTGTTGTATTAAGTCAGCTGTCAGACTCTGGGTACAATCCCAAAGGGTGCTGAGTCTCAGATGGGAGTTAATGGTGGACAACACTTCCCAGGAAGAACTCAATACTGTGCAGAATTGGATCCTAATTATATTAGCTTTAATGGGAAAAAAAACCATTTCTAACCAAATCAGTTCATGTCATCTGAATGCATGTTTTTAAAAGGCACTAGGAGATAGCAGCGAATACCCAAAATGAGCAGACCAGAACTAGAGTAATAAGTGAGCCCTGGTCTACACCACAGAGTTAGGCTGATGCAAGGCACCTAATGTTGACCTAACTATGTGTCTACACTAAAATTTTGCTCCCACTGATGTAACTCACCCACTACACTGACTTTGACTCTACTATGGAGGTGGAGTTATGTCAATGTAGTTAGATCGACGCAGTGTCAGTGTAGACACGGAGTTGTTTACATTGACTGTTGCTGGCTTTCAGAAGCCATCCCACAATGCTCCACGCTAACAGGACGTGCACTGCTAATACAAGAAGCAAAGTGTAGACATGCACAAGTGACGCTGACGTGAGTTAGGTCAACTTAATTTTAAGTGTAGACATGCCCTGAGATTGAGAACCACTTATCCAAATAGTTCCTCCACTCAAACATTTGGGGTTTGGATAACATGTCCTTTAGATCTAAGCCTCTTTTTTGCAAAATCAAAATCATTCTCAGATTTGCTCATTTCTAAAGTGAATGCTGCTAAGAATTTTAAGGGCCAGATTTTGCTTGTTAATGCACAAAGTCCCACTTACTTCAATACGCTGGTGTTATGCAGATGTCATAACCAATTTGCTAAACCAGTCTGGAAATATCCTGTTGCTGCTCAAACATATACACAAAGATCCCTATCCTGCCCATATCATTCAATGGCATGGATCAGTGTTCACATCGCACTCCCCGTCAATACCTGGCCTGGGATGGGGAAGCTAATGATCCAATCAGCGGACCAAATTCGGTGACGAATGCTGTTCACGTGCCATCTGAGGCATGATGTGCATACACTAATACAAATGGCAAAACACTGGGAGCAGGAGCAGGCCCTTAGTTTGAACTGTGACATAGCAAACCTGAGGGCACAGCAAACCTTGAAATCAATCTGTACTTTGCAGGATTGGTCTCTGGAGGATGCATCCTCTACACTTCACTGACAACCCTGCAATATGCTGCAAAATGCTATAACCTTTGCTACTTTATTTTGGTATCCAGCATAAGGCAGGAGTCAGCAGGACTTGACAGAAAGCCCAGCATAGGAGTTTTTAGACATGAAATTTGGCCTTATGTGACATTTTGCATATATGTCCTGATATTTTGTGACTTTTTTGGATACATTGTTCAGGGACGATCCATCATGGAATACGATGAAAAGCGTCTCAATAGGGATTACAGTCTTTCTGCAGAAGAATAATCCTTCATCATGTGGATAAAATATAAAACCAAGGACCTGACAATATGTGGTCATTAAAAAATCCTTGGCATTTTTCATAAATCTACAGATGTTAAGCCCAGCGCCATGGCCAAATTTTTTGGGAGTATTGCCTGAGACGCCTTAACAAGGCCTGATTTGCAGATGGTGGGGAGCTCAGCACTTTCAGACAACAGGCCCATTCATCGTGTTTTCAGTGAGGCACCTACAACACTAGGTACATTTATTTATTTGTGGTAGCACCTACTCTGTGTTAGGCACTTTCAAAACATTTAAGAAGGACAGTCCCTGCTCTGAGGTGTTTCCAATTTAAGGAAAATCTTGGCCCCCTGCGTATACATTTATCTATCAGTTTCATTTATAAAACACTTTAGGATCCTTCTGAATGAAAGATACTCTGCAAATTATATTATTATTAT